ACCAATAGACAGTAAATTTGTGATGACGTCAGAGGTCATGTGAGCATGCGCAGCTATGACGTCACAAAATCACGTGATCTCTGACGTCATTTGCGATGTTTTGCGACTTCTTGAGTCTGCTTTTGCTACTTTAGCTGAAAATTTTCTGACAACACTGGTTGCAATCCGAAAATTCACCGAATCACTTTTTGCTTCTGTAAAATACCGCCAAACTGAGCCAAGGTGGTCGCACTAATACTCAAGCATCAAATAATTTTTTAGTGTATATTTAATACTACCTATAATTACATTATAATTCAGCCCTAATCCCCACTATATTGCTCTAACGTTACTTTAATCCTTCAATATCGCTAGCGGTTCAGCAGTCATCGAGTGGATAAAACCGTTCAACATTTGAATATCAGAGAACGGCTCGTTCCATGAGTACTTTTTTTTCGGGGGGGGGGGGTTGTCCATATATGGCATGTATAAGAGCCAATTTTATTGGCTCATTTTCTTGTAAGCCGTTCATAAAGACATTCCTTCCTCTAGTAGCTAGCCCTCGTATGCTTTGCCGTAATCAAATAAAAAAAGAAAAAAAAAAAAAAAAAAATCGTATTATTTTACTTTAGCTTGATTTTGCACGTAGCATTTTTTAATTTACAAGCGTATGTTTTAAAAAAAAACATTGTTTTTATAATTTTTTCTTTTCTTTTCTTTTCTTTTTTTTTTTTTTGGAAAGAAGAAAAAATCAAAAGGCAAAGAGAAAAATGTTATTAACATACTGGAAACTAATTAAAAGGAAACCTGTTCTTTTTTACTTCTTTTGTCAAATTACATTTTAAATATCAGTAAGATTAGTTAAACTATGTGCATCATCAAAATTGCTTTTATTTATTCAAATTTGAAGGTTTATCATTTTTTTTAAAAAACTGTATGAATTTCATACCTTCACCCTTGCAGATGATCATTTTAATCATAGCGTTATAAGAATATTTCATCACTTACACGAACAGAAGTCACAATAAAACTGAAATATTCCATCTGCTGTTGTTGCTGGGATTAATCTCTCTTGTCTAAATCAGAACAAGCCCACGAAAGTCATCGTACTCCTTATATTTAAATAGGGAATAGCGCGATTTTGTCCAGCTCCAACCGATTTTGAGGGAAAGACCTTGGGAGGGTAGTTTGAGGGTCTCCCAATCCTCTTTCCCTACCACCAAAAAGGACTTTTGGCTAGCCTTATATTTAGAGTTCCTCCATGCCGCAAAAAGACACTATACATTTACATAAATCGACGCCTTCTTCCGACATTCACCCTTGGGTACGGTAGTCAGAGTTACTAATCACTATTCCGTTTGAGCGGCATATTTCATCTAGAGTGTAATAATATAATACTGTGGAGGTTTTCTTTTGGAAGACAAATACTGCAATAAATTTTTCTGGAAAATTACAGATGCAAGTCTTGTTTAATCGTTAAAGGTGTTTTTAGCTATTCCTTTTTCAAAACAGTCGGTATTTCGCTTCTTGATGGCGAAGGAAGAAAACAACTCCCAGTCCTATCTTGTAGCATGCCCCAGACAAACTTGAGATCACGGGTGAAGAATGTATAAGACGTTCAATCTCCTTTTCAGGTTTTTCTATAACCGCCTTTGTCACCAATTTTATGATTTGAGATGGTACATTTTCGTCCTGATACACAGGATGTCCTTTGGAGTAAAAAGTTTGAACAGCAAGTGGAACCGTTAAGAACAGTTTGTGTTCTTAACGGTGATGTGTTAGACACGAACAGTTAGCGTTAATCAGAGATTTTGAAGTTATTGTGCCTCAGACAGTAAATAACCTACTTCCACATTTCTCTCTGAGCACGAGACAGTCTGGATCATACGCCTCTGAAAGCTGTGGCATAAACTCTCGTAGTAGTGGAAAAGAGAATGAATGTTGAATTTATCGATGTTAGAGATTTTTCATTTTTTACTACCCAAGTTTTTATTTCTTGAGAGTACTGACACCAACTTTCAGCATGGATACCGGTTATTAGAGTCTTTACTGCAGCTGCCCGACCGTTAATATCAATCCAGTGAAGCTTCTGACAGCCAGTTTTCTGTCGCAAAAAAGGCCGAGTTCATGAAAATGTTGTGTTTTACCGTAATTTGAGTAACGATTTTATATTTTTTCGATTGATTTCTTTTTAACACACTAACACAGAAAAAAGAAATAGTTCCTGATGCTAAATTATCAAAATTTAGAAAGAGTTCATGTTTGATTCTTAATGTTGAAGTTTAATGCAACGTACTTTTCTTAATGGCATTTTGTTCAATTTCTCTCTGATTAAGTCCTCTTGCGTGAGCAATCTTTCTGACTAGATGAAATTTTTTGTCTTTCTGTATATACATTTGTAGCACTGAGCTCGGATAGTGTGGCTCAGATACCCAAAATTACGAATCAGTGTATAAGCAAGAAAACTTCTGTAAAATCAGTAGTAACCATTCATATTCATTCCACATATCGAAAAGTCTCTGTTCTGTAAAACAAAGTCTGACATTAAACAGAACGATTTTGAGAGACATTTAGAATTTAGAAAACCGCATCGAGGAGATCAAAGAAGTCCAGAAGTCGTTAATTGCTTTCAACGAAGGAATGATTTAAGTTCTGTAAATATGACAAAGAGACGTATAACGTAAGAAGAAATGTATATAGACGGCTAAGTAACGATAAATATGTTTTCTTCAAATCTTGTAACTCTGTGAATTCAGTCGTAAAACTTTGCAGACGGGCTGTATATTTTCATCAATATTGTTATTCCCATTAATCAAATTTCCTTTGCCAATTGAAAACAAAAATACAATGCGTGTTGTGTTTATGCCTTTCTACATTTGTAGAACTGAGTTTGGACACTGTGCTTGTTAAACAGAAAGAGAACTCACGTTTTGGTATTATGAAAGGTACACCGACCAGCCGAGCACCAACAATTTGCCTTATTTGGACATCAATGTATCTCTTATTTATGTCGTATAATTTCCAGTGCCTGATTCAGTACCTCTAATATTGCTGAGAATTCAAACTTTACATCCTGCTACTTTTGATATAAATCACTCAGGGCTATAAAATAAATGTCAAGATGACGTTGCATAATTTTCAATATTATAAGTTTCGGTTTAGCTTTCATGTTTCAACAATTAAATTTTATTACGCATACGTTTGTTTAAAATATTACATGCGCAACAATGATGCCAGCCAGTGGTTAATTACATAATACCGACGACCACTGGTAGTTCGATCCGGATCCAAAATGTCAAAAAATGTACTGTCAATTCCAGATTAACTGTGGGTGGATTACCAGGGCGTTGTCTGAGAGAAAAAATTCCTTTTTTTTATGGAACTATGGAAAGAATACTATCACAACCTCCAGAAAAAGCAAAATTTCTACAGAAAAGCAAAAGGAAGAAGAAAGTGTATGAAATAACAGTAATGATAACAGATGACATTACAGTATTTAGGAAATCCTTTATCCACAGCAATATATAATTTAATTAGACATAAACTGAGGCTTCTTCAGGGGCGAAAAAGTTTAAAACTACTGAATGCTGGTAGATGAATACTCGGATTTGAACCCAAGCGAATGGCTGCACGGATATGTCTGTGGTTTCCCTGAAATATTAGAGAATTTTTTTAGAACGTTCTCCAGGAAGGCGTCCTCACAATAAGGTGATAGCTCTCGTGTGCTTTTTTAATATCAATTTAACCTAACGTGCGCAACAATAAATAACCTTATTTTTCAGGCAAAAGTGATGTTATGAAAGCTTGAATTTTGAGACGAGGATTAAAAATGATATAGAAACAAGCAGATGAAATCTGAAGAGCGAAAATGCTATTTTAGTTATGGCTTTCGGTAACTGAATGACATAATTGAAGTTTGTCTTTATTACAGTTTGTAAAATGTTTAACTGAAATTAAGTTACTTCAGTGAGAGGTAAATAAAAGTACTTTTAAAAGAATTAAATTTGTGACGTAACGAAAAAAAAAAAAAAGAAGAAGAAAGAAAGAAAAGAAAATGTAGAGACATTAAATTATTTTGAAGCAGGAGACATGGAAACTCAGCAATGCCCTCGCCAGAACTCGAACCAAAACATCTCGATTACGCGCTGAGTGTGCTACCGTTACACTACAAAGGATACGCTGAAGGAGGGAGAAAATACCTTATAAAGCAATGCAAAGAAAACATTGAAATATATAATTTTCTAAAAGTGTAGAAAAAGTGAATTGATGAGAAATAGGCATCAGCCAAGTTTAAATTATTTCAATTTCTTAATAAGGAATATGATCTTTTGACAAGAATTGAAATTGGTAGATAAATTTTCAGTTTTTCATCGTATACTTCATTATCTTTATCCATAAAGATTAATTGTTAAAAGGAAGAGCATAAATTTGAATAGTTGTGGGAAAGTTCATTTTCATAATCGAATTATGGACAATACTTATTATTTTTATTATGACTACAGCTACTGATAGAAAGCCCCGAAATCTGAAACCATGAGCCATTATTTTGTATCATTTCTGTATATTTCATGTCATAGCATAGCTATTTCATGTCATAGCATAGCTGCTGATTCTTCCCTGTGCTAAAATATTCACAAATCAAGTCCCTATAGCAATATATTCATATTGAAATGTGAATATATTATTACAGAAATGGTATAAGCAGTTGTTTGCAAGTATTTAGTTCTAATGTTCTAACTATGAAAATCAACATCAATTTAAGTCTTTCCTGGTATCGAATACAATACGCTTCATCTAATATTATCTCGGAAAAATATTATATACAACTTTTCATAATGGAGAAATAAAGCATTCTTGACGAGATAGGGAGGAATCATTATCGGATACTAGCTGTCCTTGACTCTGAAATATAGAACACACCTATTTTTTTAATGATAGTGTAGTACGTGACATAGTAAACTTGTGACCCAATGTTTATTTCCGTCAGCTATGTAGGAAGGAATTCGGAAAAAAGGCCTTACCTTCAGAGTGATGACTTCGCTGTGATCCAGCACGACGTCGGGTTGTTTCTCCAAACAGCAAACGTAGAACATCGTATCGTACCTCCTGTGACCTACGGAGGTCGGGGTTAACCAGTCCCACCATTCATGAAGAGACCATATATCGGGACAGACATTGGCTTCAAGGCAAAAGTCAGTGAAAGCCAGGGGGTCTTTGCGGATTTTTTCCTGCCACGCAACAAGGTCAATGTCAGCATACCAGCTGAGAGACGAGCTTTTAGACTTCTTAGGACGTGTCATCAGTAGTACACCGGTTTCCTCAAAAGTCTCCCTTATCGCTGCTATGCGTAGGGCGACGTCCGGTGGTAGAGGGTCTTGCTCTGGTTTGACATTTGCGCATGATAGCGTGACCGACTCCGTGATCATACGAGGCCGCGGTCCGCTAACTTTCTGACTGAATTTTTGAATGGACTCTCTATTTATGCCATGGGCTGCAAATACATCATACCACTTTGGAGAGTAATCACTGATTTCGGCCAGTCCACCAGGAAAGACGTAAGCATTAGCCATGAAAGAACTTAAGCTGCTACGCTTCACCATAAGAAGTCGAAAATCACAATGATTTTTATTCACCATGTCTCTCGGAGAAGTGTGCGCCCTCACCATCATGGTAGCTAGGTTATTTCCCACAAGTTCTTGCAAGGAGGCTCTAACTACAATAATGACACTGGCAGCCTCTCTCCATGGTGGAATGTGTTCCATTTCTGAAATAATAAGAAATTTTTACTTTAAAAGACATGCAAATTCGCAATATTAAATTATTTGTATTATAAATATTTACTTTTATACCTGTTGGTAATTAGTATACTTTTCCACATAGTGTTAAGGCATGATATTTAATAAGACACACATTTTACGCATTTAAATCTTGAAACCACTTTAATTAAAAATATTAATGTTAAATTCGTAAATCTTTTAAAGTATTTGTAAATCTGAATGAATTAACTTCAACGGAACCTTAAATAGGTTAGCCGTCTTGGTTTTCATGGAAGAGCCTTTAACATAATTACTCACTCAAGCAAATCTAGTAACTACTTGTTTACACATTTTTTTATAACAACTTTCTAAAGAATAATTCACTTCAGACGCGTGCTATTTGCGATGATTTTTATGTAAGGATATGATTCCTACTTATGAGTGAAAGAAAGAAAACGGGTACTCTAGCATCTCGCGCTGCTGTGGTCACCCCCCTCCCCCCAAAAAACGAAAGTAGAAATATGAATTAATTTTACGCTTGAAATGTATAAACGCAATGTGCGTGTTCCCTTTCATAAGCGTTTTTTGGGAAAAAAAGAGTTTATAAGGTATTTTTTCCCTCCTTTCTCCATGCCTTCGTGGTTTAATGGTTAGCACACTCGGCGCGTATTCGAGAGGTTCAGGTTTCAGTTCCGGCTAGGGTATTGCTCATTTTTCGACTTAACAGTGGCGCTCGAACTAAAAGGTGGGGGATGACGAATCAGGATATGGCGATAGGGTCCTCTAATACCCAATCGCTCTTTAAAAGGAGAGTATATAAGGTCCCTCCCTCCTTTCTGCATGCTTTCGTGGTGTAACCATTAGCACACTCGGCGCACATTCAAGAGGTCCAGGTTCGAGTCCCGGTGAGGGCATTGCTCATTTTTCATGCTTTCGGCTTCAAAAATCCTAATGACTTTACACGTTTATCATAGTTCGCGTACTTTCATTCTCTTCTAATTAAATTTCTTGCCATAAAATACTGAAAATACTTATTTCTACTCTTAAAACTTATATACTTAAATTTAGTAATTAATAATACTTTAGTAATTAATATGCACTTTAAAAAGCCTCTGGATACTTACTGAGATTTATAATAATCACGAATAATTTTTATGAATTATTTGCAGATGAAAATATTATATAAAGTACAGAAACATTCTTCTTAAGTACATTTTTAAAACTTTAGTTATTAATAATACGCATCTTTCTTTTCTTGTATGGCATTCAAGCTGCTGCAAAAATTTTAAGCAATGTTACAAAAATTTCTCATAAAGATATCGACAGAAATTGCTAATTGTTTCCAGAAAAAAAAGAAAGAAAATGCGTTAACCTATTGAGGTAAATATTTGTTGCAATCCGTGTGCACAAGCTGTCCAGCCAAATAAATATATGGATAAGTCTTGACTGATTCAGCCTTAAGTGCATTTGTATTTAGAGGGCGTTAATTATAATGAAATAATATCAGACAAAAAATTTCTGTTTTTGCCATATGGGATACCTAATTTTAAATATAAGATTTTATATTCTCTGTATTTGGTTTCTGACGCACTAAGTCCTGAACTTGTAACTTTATGATAAGTGCTTAGATAAAAATTATTTCATATGTTAAACAGAAATCTGCATTTCGAGATAAGACTGCTTTCTCTTTATTTTTATATTTTTTAAATAATTTTTTGAAATTTTGATGGCAAACTCAAAATTTGATAATTTTAGAGCACGAAGAAAGTTTTTAGAAAACTTCAGAAATGGCAATCGGAGCAGTTATAAGGACTATTAATACAAATGAATATATCTTCCAATTCAATTTTAAAAAGCATTAAAACAGGATGTAATAGGATTAAAAGAGCATCAAGTGTGTTTGATAACGTAACTTACAATAAAGTTACATTTTTCCTTGTGAAAACTTGCAATCACATGGAAACATAATGCATCATGCTTGAGATGTACAATACACCTATTTCTTACGAGCAGAACACGGTCAAGATGTATTCCACTGAACAATATATAAATGTTATAAGTTATTTTCTCACTTTTTTTTACAGCATGCCTTCGTAGTATAACGGTTGTCACACTCGGCGCGTATTCGAGAGGTCCAGGTTCGAGTCCCAGTGAGGGCACTGCTCATTTTTCATGTACTTTTGCTTCAAAATAAACCGTATTTCTCAACAGTGGCGCCCGAAAGGTGGCGGATGACGATTCTTCACCACCAGGATTTGGCAGTTGAGTCCCTTAATTCCCAGTCGCCCTTTAAAGGGGGACGTATATAAGGTATTTTCTCTCTCTTTCCAGCATACATTCGTGGTGTAACGGTTAGCACACTCGGGGCGCATTCGAGAATCCTGGGTTCGAGTCCCGGCGAAGGCATTGTACTTTTCATCTTCTCCTGCTTCAATAAAAAACCTAATGACTCTACAATGTAATCTAAATGTACAGTGAGTCCTCTTGTAATGACCTCAATTTTGACGACCAACAATTTTGAAAATAAAGGCCGATTAAGAAAGTGAGTATATATATATATATATATACTTTTGGCACTGCCGAAATTGCAATAAAAAAGGAAGGTGCACGATTAGATATTATCTATAAAATTTAAATAGTTCCCATATACAAAATTCCATCTCTAATGATTCTTAAATTATGCGACATACATATGTAAATACGTACATACAAACGCAAAACAAAAAAAAAAAAAAAAAAAAAAAAAAAAAAAAAAAAAAAAAAAAAAAGAAAAAAAAAAAAAGAAAAAAATCAATTTCACAATCATTTTTGGAATGAAGAGTCGTTTATTCTATTTGTACGTACAGACGTCTCTAAAAAAAAACAGGTAAATTGGATTTGGGAAAGGTCAAAATAATATTTCCATTGAAATCTGAATCGCAAATTTTTTCGCTATTGCAATACTTTCTTTATTTCATACAAAAAAGTAAAAACTACTTTTATTCAGGTTTGGATATTTATGAACATTTTCTACACTTTTTGTTGTTTAATTTATACAACACTTAATCTAAATAAACGAATACAATACACGATAATCTAAATCTAAATAAACGAATACAATACACGATAATATAAATCTAAATAAACGAATACATGCACTTTTTAAGTTTAGGTAGGAAGGGTGGATGATCTCTTGGTCATAGGGGCGTAGGAGATAAAAAAGGTTGAGAACGACAGTAGTAAGGTACGTTGAGAAATTGCTTTTGATCTGTTTAACATAAAAAGATTTATGCATAGAATTTCATTCATAAAGGTACATATATCAGCCACTGCATTTGTATTTTAATATTAAACAGTGTTATAAAAAGAACAGTAGGATTTTTTTTTATGAGAAAGGATTCATTTAACCGTGGTACAGTATCAAATTAAAATATTTTTAGAACTAAGCAAAGAATACTTTTAAAATTAAGCAAGTAACAATAAATAAAAATTTTTAATTCTTTCTGTAACAACCAAATTTTTATACAATAATTTAGTTAATACTTTCTAAATGAGTAACTATGCCGTTTAGACTGTATAATGGTTATGGGAGCCTACTGCGGCACCGAAGGGCCCGGTTCGAATCCCGAAGACGGCGTGGATGTTTGTTAATGTACAGTGTCCGTGCGACGTGAAGGTACTCTTAATATGTGGCGAGACGAAAGCCCTCTCGAGAGGCTGATGGTAGGGGAAGAGGAGGTGAGAGATCCTCGGACCCGTCCTCACCGGGGTGCTCTCCATCGAAATTGAGGGCGGAACAAAGCCAAGTCGTACTGTAACCTCACGATGCTGAAGGCTGTTGCCAACGGCAGGCGCAATCTTAACCCCTTGTCACGATGAATTTTGTGGACTTGTTCTGATGTTACTCTCAGACAAGTGAGATAAGTTACAACAAATAACACACCAAATCAGTAGCTTTCTGAGTAATGTATTTATCGCATAGGCTTGGTTTGGCGAGCACACTTTATATGATTCACCACATTTCTAAGTTTATGCTAACTACTCTAAGTTTATCCTATCCTTTTTCTCTGGACTGCTGTTAAAGTACAACAAATCAGTCTTCAAATGGGAGTCATTTCTATTTTTAACGTTACTCTGCAACTGGTTGAGAGATTTAAGATTTCGGTGCATGCGTGCTTGTGGATTTGTAAATTAAATTTCATAAATCTTAAGTGTTTAACCTTCGATTAAGATGTCTACAAAAGAAAACGGGAAAGCAGTAGATTTACAGACACGATTAAAAGCCATGAATGACGCTCTGTTGCAAAGAAAGCTGACAGAAAATTATGCTAAATGGTTGATAAATAAGAAGATGATTGCTTTATTTTATGTAATTCAAACTGCTTTACAAAAGGAAGCGATTAACCAAAAAAGAAGGTCAGTATAACCCAACTTAGATGAAATAAAAAATGAATGGTTCTGAAATTGCTAATCAAAATTTATAATGGAAGTTATTTTCCCCTGTAATTTTTTATATAAATTCCAAGTTCTATAAACAAGTTAAATTAAACTGTAATTTGGAATATAATAAAATGGCTGATTTACTTTCTGAAAGTCAGGCAGTTTTAGGATAAGAAATTAAAAACCAAGAAAATAAATAAATGACAGACTTTAGTGGATAAATAAATATTTTAAAAAACAGTTTGAAATGTCTACGCTTAAAATTTCTTTTATACATAAGATTTGTTTTCCCATTTTAAAATATTCACTTATAGAACTTCAGAAAATTAACTATTAGGATAAATTTTTTCCCTAAATTTGGCATTTTAGTGCATTATTCATTACTTAGAGTTGATTCTTTATTTTTATTAAATGGTAGCAATAAATCGATATAATGCTCTCTAGTATTTTTTGCAGGAAATTTCAGATCTATTTTGCAAATTATTAATCTCTATGACCAAAACGTTTTAGCTATAAGGCGACCGTCCCAAAGAATACCAAAATAGTCTGGAACAACGAATGACTGTCTCCGAAAAGATTAAATTGTATT